TGCCCCGAGCACGGCAAGGGCCCCGGACCGTACCGGCACATCCCCGCCCGCACCGGAGGACACGGCAGCCCGGACACCGACGGCTCCGGGACGGCGCGGCCGCTGCCCGGCCGGCCCCGATGCGGCTCCGCGGCGTTGCGGGCAGGGGCCGCCCGGAGCCGCGCTCGGACCCCCGCCCCAGCGGCGCCGGCTCCCGCCGGTGGGAACGGCGGCGCCGCGGAGGCCGCGGCCGCCCGCCCGTGCCCCGGCAGGGGCTGCCCCGGGGGAGCTGGGGGGCGGCAGCCGCCCCGCTCCCGCCGCCCGGCCAGGGTAGCCGCGGCAGCCCCGCCGGTGATGCCCGCCCCGCGCCTCCGCCGCGCTGTCCCCGAGCGCCGAGAGGGCACCGCCGCCTCGCCCCGGCCGGCCCCCCGCGCCGCGGTCGGCCCCTTCCCCAGCCGCACGGGGAACTCGGCGCCCCGGTTCTCCCCCCCGCTCTGCCCCGGCGGGACGGAGACGCCCCCGGGTGCCGGAGCCCCCCCCGGGTGCCGGACCCCCCCCCCGCCGCCATCTCACCGTTCGCCGGTGCCGCGGGGCAGCGCGCGCCGCACGCAACGGCGGCGGGAGCGCGAGGCGGCGGCGGGAAGGCGCGCGCGAGGCAACAGCTGGCGGGGGAAGCGCGAGGGGGGGGAGCGGCGCGCGCGTCCAGGCGCCAGCGGCGGCAGCAACAGCGCGCCACCCGCGCGCGCCGCCGGCCCGGGGCGGGGCCAGCGGGGGCCAGCAGCCAATGGCGGCCCCTCCGCCTCCGGGGGCGGGGCCGAGCCGTGACTGGCAGCGGCACAGCCCAACGAGAGCGCGGGAAAGGCAGGGCTGCGCTTGACGGACAGGCGGCGAGGCGGAGGTGGGGCCGCTGTGACAGACAGCCCTTTACACCAATCGGCAGCGGGGGCGGGGCTCCAGGCTGACCCGCCGCCAGCCGGGATGGGCGGCCCGGGCTCGAGGGGCGTCACCGACGGCCGGACTAGGAAGGCGGGATTTACTTGAGCGACGTCGCCATAGCCCAATGAGAATGGAGGGCGGCAGGACGCGCGCCCCCGCTGGCCAATAGCAAGCGCGGGGCGGGGGAGGGAGGCGGGCGGTTCCCTGAGGCGGAGCGGGCGGGGAGGGCCCCGCGCCCCCTCAGCTGAGCGCGGGCCCCGCGGACCGGGGGATGCGCCGGGATCTGCGGTAGGTGACGGGCAGCGAGGGGGGCTCCCGCCTCCGGGACCGCCGGCACGGCCGGGGAAGCGGGGCCTGGCGGGACAAGGCCGTGGGGCCGAGGGAGGGGCCGAGTTTGTGAATACAAAGCTGTGTTTAATTGGGGTTTTAAGCCGGGCCTACCGCAGTATTTCTTTCGAAGTGTTAACTTACCTATAGGATCGGAGTAGGCTCTAAAAAGGTATGTAATGGAACTGGGGTTCTGTTTAATATGGCTTCACCATAATACGAATTTCAGGACTTTTTTAGGCGATGCTCACGCTTTAAATCTAAATGTGTAGGTTCATGTTATTACTACTGAGCTTACTGTCATGTGTGAGTTGTCCTCTTTATTTTTTCTCTTAAACAGGACAGTGTTAGCTCTCATAATATCCTCGTTATGCAGATCATCCCACCAAGGTCAGTGATGCTCCTTGGATAGTTTCTGCTCACTGAAAATATTCACTCTCTAATTATGTTGGTCCTTTAATAGGAGTCAGGAGCTTTTCTATTTTCACTGTGTTCTCACTGAAGAGCCAGTCCAGACCTGTAGCACAGCTGCATCCTTTTCCCAGTGTCACCCAGCTTGCTGGGATAGCTGGGCTCCAGCAGAGAATCTGCCCATCATCTTTGTTTCACTATGAGACAATCAAATGCTCCATGTAATCAAACCCTTCATTGTTATGTCAGCTCTATATCCAGCTCTCAGCCTTCAAAATCTGGTAGGTTTCTTTAATTGCACTCTTAAGATCTCAAAAGTACACTTGGATTTTCTTGAGTTTTCATCTCAAAATGCCTCTAAAACTGACTGGATTCTTGCAGTCCTGCCCAATCTGGCAGGAATGTCTGTTAGGTCAGAGAAAGGCAGTGTAACTTCTTCCCATGCTGAATTTTCTGTCTGTGTTTTCCAGTGGTTCTTAGCAAACTGAAAGTATTTTCAAGTGAACAACCTTCAAATTGAGTAGCCCCATGTAATACATCTTCAGTAGCTTTGTGTTTCCTCTAGAGACAGGTGATAGCACCTTCTTTGAGTATCTATCTGATAACCTGATACTTCTAAGAGTGTTGAGTTTCTTTTTTCCTTTCAGACCCAAGTTTCCAGTCTGTTTCTCTTTGGTTTCTGCTTTCTCCAGTTTGCTAATAAGAGAGTGCCCTTCTTGTAGTGTTTGTAGCATTGATTTCCAGAACTGGTTTTGAAAAACATTCTCATGAAAAGAATGTTGAAACTTCGTTTCAGACCATGACTCCTCACTTTAGCCACAGACTTGCACTTGAGAATATTGCAAGTGTTTTCAAAATACTGTAAATGCTTTAGGCCAGACATAGTAATTGTTCTGCAATCCCCTGCCAGCTGGTTTAGGTTTGTTTCTGTAACAAGAGCAAAACAATGCTATCTAAACCTCCTCCAATTTTCTTGTCCCCTTAACTCAACTGCTGCTTCTGAGCTTCCCCTCTTCCCCAGCAAAGAGAAGGGTGGGGGGTCTTGGTTCCACTCTGTCAGGAACTGCCTTTGACCAGACCCTTTGGTGATCTGAGCAGAACTCAGACTGTGAAAAGCAAAACTACAAAATCCTACTTTAAACTTCCTCTTTTTTTTCTAGTTCAGCTCAGGGAACTGGCCTGACTTGGACACAAGTGTCAGCCCCAAAACAAAGAGGGGACACACTGACTGCAACTCCAACTTAGATTATTTTAGGCAAAACTGGATCTTCTTACAAGAAATCTTACTAAATCCAATCCACTGAATCAAATCCATTCAAACTTCAAACCCAGACTGAACAAAGTAGTAGATCTGTTTGTTGAACTGTGTATCAGAAGATGCAGATTTAAGCTGTAGGATAATTTTAGTGATGTACAAAATTGTTATCCCCTCACTGTAAAATAGTAGGTCATCTCATAACCAGTTGAGACAGCAACTTTTATTTCCCTCCTTCCAGCAGCAAATCTTATCTGAGCACAGAATTTGTTCAACTTCCTAATCTGGCAAAAAACTATTCCAGTTCTAAAAAAAACCGGGTGGCAGTAGATTTGTGCATTTGTGCTTGCTGGGTGAGTTCAGCAGCCACAGTCAGGTGATGTGGTGTGCTGTGGTAATAACTCACAGGAAGCAGCAGCAGCAGCTCCTGGGCACAGAGGGGCAGCAGCTCTTGTCCTTCCCTCAGCATCTGGTGCTCAGCATTCACTGCTTCAGAACACAACATCACACTTCCAGTCATTCAAATATTTTTCTAGTCTGGAACAAATCAAAGCTCATTTTCTTATTTCAGGTGAAAGATTATTTGTGTTTTAAAGGAAATTAGTAAAAATTTTAACTCAAATTTTTGAAATAGTTAAAATACATATTTCAGCACCATTTCACAGGTGAAAATTACTCATTTTTGTAGCATGAAATCTAGAGGAAGATCACAGTCCTGCTTTTTACTTTTCACACTTCTGCTTTTTACACCTGTAGTGAAAGGCTTTTGGCAGATGCAGTGGTAAAAACTATCCAGTTAGGAAGATAAAAACTTCACTTTCATGACTGCAGCAGCAGATGCATTTATCTTGTTTTTCTTTTGTCATGACTACAGAGAAATTATAATATCCTACCCAGCCAATAAACCTGTCAGCCAGTGTCTGAAATACTTGAGATACCTGCCAAGAAGCAAACCTTATCTGTAGCTTTTAGTCATTTCAAGATTGCTGGCTGACAGAAAGCTGGGCAGTGCTCAGTGTGAGCCAGATCAGTTCAGCTGCAGCTCTCAAACTGCAGGATCCCTGCGAGGGTTTTTGGGCTCTTCGTGCTGGTTCAGGTTTTACTGTGGTTATTTTGTTACAGAGACAGAACTGTTATGTTTTGTTTTCAAGTGTTAGCTCTGAGTGCCTCAGTACTGGTGGAAAATGGATCTGAACATATTCTTAGCTTTCAGAAATCCTAAATGAGTCTGACAGCTTGTTTAGGATTAAAGTACAGTTTGTTTCACTGAACAGATTTAGATGAAGGCACTTACACAGCTGACTTAAGGCACTCCAAGGGAATGGTGGACTGGAGCAAACCCTGCTCAGCTGAGCATGCTAATCATGAAAGTGCTGGGAAGCAGTATGTGGGTGAGGCTAGGAGTGGGAAAGCCAGAGCAAGGAATTGGTCTCCTTCATGGAATATGCCTCGTGGTGGTGTAGAGCCATCTTTTGATGCCTCCCCTCCCCTTTTTGTTTGTTAGGTTGTTGCCGACAGCGAAGGCCTTCCTCTCAAAGCTGTTTAAATGAGAATGTCCCTGGCGCAAAGAGTGCTGCTGACATGGCTTTTTACCTTACTCTTCCTCATCATGCTGGTGCTGAAGTTGGATGAGAAAGCACCATGGAACTGGTTCCTCATTTTTATTCCAGTGTGGATCTTTGACACAATTCTTCTCGTTATGTTGATTGTAAAAATGGCTGGGCGCTGCAAGTCTGGCTTTGACCCCCGCAACGGCTCCCAGAACATGAAGAAGAAAGTCTGGTACCTCGTTGCCATGCTGCTGAAATTGGCCTTCTGCCTGGCCCTGTGTGCCAAGCTGCAGCGCTTCACCACCATGAAACTGGCCTACGTGTTCATCCCCCTCTGGGCCCTGCTGCTGGGGGCCATGGTGGAACTGGGATACAATATCTTCTATGTACGGAGAGACTAGGCTGGGCCAGGTGCTTTCCAGGGCCAGGACTGGCACCAAATTACTAGATTATTACCATTTTGCCACAAATTTGATCTTCAAACTAGAAAGCCAAATGAGTCAAGCTGGAGACTTAAGCTAAAGCAGACTGAAGACTGAAAGTAGACGTGTTTCTTTTTTTTTATTTTAAAACTCACATATGCTCTTGTAAATAAAAGTATTTGTTCAACATAAGCTGTTCTAATATGATTGCTGATACTTGTTACATGGAATAAGATATGGGTTCTTCACGTGCAGGTAGAAGTCCTTGTCAAAAAAACCACAAATGTTCTACCCAGAGTATCCAGCACATTGAGTAACCCCAGGAAAGAGGACTAACATTTTCTGCTACTTATCCTGTAAGTCAAGAAATAACCAGTTAACAATAATTTCCATACAGAGCTAAATTTGCTTTAAAAATCAGTAACAATTGACAGCAGTCAAATAAGAGCAAGAAAAGGAACACCTTTTTTTTTTTTTGGACAGTGAGATTCCATTAGCAGTGTAAAAATAAGCAGTTTTCTAAGCTGCTGTACCAGCCCATAACCAACCAGTTTGTTAACCTTAGGGAACACAGTTGGTAGCTGGGCTATGCCAGCAGTCCTGAGATCCAGAGAAGAGGGAGACAATGGTATTTCTTTTCCAAGTGAGAGATCACCAATGCTGCAAGAGGCTGAAAATACAGGGTGAGTATAAAATACTGCATTTGTACCTGCCTCAAAGTGTTACTTGAACAAGACAGTCTTTAATAGCAGAGGATATGAATTTTTGGGGGTGAAGCCTTGGCTTCATGGAGCACTGACAAACTCAGATGTGAGGAAATGACCTTTGTCAGGTAACAAGTGAATAGGACTTGAGGGAAGAACTGGAACTGCAAGTGTATTTGTGGGCTAAAATGCTCTTCCAGGAGATACAGTAACACCAAATTCAAATGTAGCAGTCATCTGGGACATTATTAACATGCATACTGAAAATACTGATCCATTCCTAGAGAAAAAAGAATGTCAAGTGAATGGAAAACAGTCTAGGGTAACAGGACATACCTAGACAAGTGTTTCACTAATAAAATTTTAAGTATGTACATTCAGCTGTACTTGTCTGTGGAAAAAAGTCTTCCTGAAGTGTTTGGATTTACTCTTGCTGTTTCATCACACAGATGTGGGTAAAAACACAGAGGAACAAGATTGTGGGAGGCTGCTGAAAGAGCTTTATCTAAGAAAACATGTTCCATTCCAAGGCAGTTAATCTCAATTCAGAATATCAGGTTACAAATCCTCTATAAAATGAATTTAAGTCATTTATTTCAGAATGGTTGACTGTCCTACCTGCTAAAGGAGAAGCCAGGAAAAGACAGAGACAAAAGAATTCAAAACAGTAGCTGTTTTTAAAAAAAAGTAAAACTATTTATAAACCCTTTCTTTTTATAACAAATCATTGGTTTTTACTAAGCAAACCCATGTACCCAGCCCCAAGATATGCACATCAGGTCATTTATGGGGAGTGTCTAGCAGGAACAGTTGTTTGGAGGAGGTGTAGCTATGCATTGTGTAGTTCTCAAAAATACTTCATCTTGCTCTGTGTGAGAGTTCTTGCCCATTCATGTGAGGGTCCCATGGAGCACTGACTTCCTTCAGTCTTGAGTGGTTTTTCAAGAAAAACTGGCACTTGTGATGAGGATGTGCTGTGGGGAGGGGTACACTAATGTCAGAACAGGCTCTGAGACCTGCTGGCTACAGCAGCTGTGAGAGTGAGCACACACAGGTGCCACAGGCACCCATGTGTGGGGTGGAGAGAACAGGGTGCTGGGTGTGTGTCCAGCTTTGTGTGTGGGGTGGAGAGAACAGGGTGCTGGGTGTGTGTCCAGCTGTGTGTGTGGGGTGGGAGAACAGGGTGCTGGGTGTGTGTCCAGCTTTGTGTGTGGGGTGGGAGAACAGGGTGCTGGGTGTGTGTCCAGCTTTGTGTGTGGGGTGGGAGAACAGGGTGCTGGGTGTGTGTCCAGCTTTGTGTGTGGGGTGGGAGAACAGGGTGCTGGGTGTGTGTCCAGCTTTGTGTGTGGGGTGGGAGAACAGGGTGCTGGGTGTGTGTCCAGCTTTGTGTGTGGGGTGGGAGAACAGGGTGCTGGGTGTGTGTCCAGCTTTGTGTGTGGGGTGGGAGAACAGGGTGCTGGGTGTGTGTCCAGCTTTGTGTGTGGGGTGGAGAGAACAGGGTGCTGGGTGTGTGTCCAGCTTTGTGTGTGGGGTGGGAGAACAGGGTGCTGGGTGTGTGTCCAGCTTTGTGTGTGGGGTGGGGAGAACAGATTTGATCTGCAAGTCCCACTTGGTTCTGTTCTGCAAATGAGAACCCAAGCCACGGAGCCCCTGCCTGGAATGGAATGCCATGGAATGCAGTCTAGACCTTGTGCATTTGTTATGGCTGCTTTCAAAATGTATGAAGAGTATCTAAAGCCCTACCTCCAATTCAGGTAAACTGTGATGAGCCACTTAGCAAGCAGTGATACAAGTGTGTAACAAGCATTCAAGCACCTCAGACAAGATGATTTTATCTGCACACACACACACACACACACACACACACACACACACACACACACTTACCTGTGGTAGGTATGGGACCAAGCATAAAATAACACCCATGGTCCTTTTCCATCTGATGATTCTGGAAAAATAAAATTCCAAACCCTCTTGTTTAGAGGATGCCAGCACAGCCCCATGCTGCTCAGGAGAGCAGAGCAGGTTTCCTCAGCCCAGCTGACAATAGTAATTGATTGTTATGACATAGAACAAAAGATGGAAGAGTAAGAACTGGCTTCACTGGAACTTGGTGTATTATTAGCAAGATAGGCCATGAATGGTGACTCTGCCCCCTTAATAAAGCCCTTCTCTTCCACAGATGTAACAATTATCAGAAAGTTTGGCATCTCTAATTAACTAGAATCACACACAGTCCTTACAAATCTCCTTGTAATTGTTGCCTCTAATTCAATAGGAAAAGATCAGCAATATCAGTTTGGGTTGTGGGTTTGGCTTTTTTTTTTTTTTTTTTTAAAGGTTTACCAACCTTGAAATAAATTATTTGGAAAGCTGAAGCAGATGCTTCTTGCTGGTGTCAGACAGAAGTCACACACAGCCAGACAGAACTGCTCAGCTTTCCAAGCTCCTTGTCCTTACAGGGGAACTTGGACAAGAGCATTTCCCTTTTGAGAATTTTGTATCATATTTAACTGACCTGAACAGTGCTGAGATCTTTGTGCACACATCTCTGCCTTATCAGAACTTCATTCAGAAGGATCTGTGACACAAAGTACACTATAGCCCACTGTGACCTCTCCAGAAACAGCTGCAGGAATTAATTAAATCTGTTCATAATTACGCTGTTCTCAAAGGTGCTGATGACAGCTTGGAAGTGGAACCAATTTCCACCAATCTCCTCACACATTTTCCTAAATTTACCAACTGATCTTCAGTAACAAGATAAAACAAGTGAAAAGCAAATTTGCTGAAGGTGGCAGGAAAAGGAGAGCTCCATGCTGAGATGGCTCACACTGATTTGTGATAAAAAAGGCACAAGGATGTCTCAGCTCCCTGCAGCTGCTGATGGGGGGCAAAGGAGAGAATCTGGCTTTCAGGAGCTTTGTTTTAAACTGCAATTCAAAAGCTTGTTGAAACCAAATGGAAGTTATTTCTGTGTACTGATGATATATATTGGACATGGAGAGATACACTCCACATAATTTCTCTCTTTCCATCATTTATACAGGTTTGAACACTTCAGTATGCATTGCAGGTGAGTATCTGCTTTTGTCTGATAACAAAAAATCATTAACACATGTGTGAAAGGTCATGAAACTGAAATTTGCAATTGCCAATTCTTACTGGTTTTCTTGATTTGTCACCATTTTAGAACAGTATCTAGTTTTGTGTTCTTTTTATACTTGAAAAATGCAGTTCTGTGACATGTGCATCCCCACCTATAACAAAGTTTACCCTGAATGCTCTGAGAACATGTGCAGACACACACAAAATGCACTGCCAGGCACAGAGGGCAATAACAAAGCCTGAACTAGCACAGGACAGGGTGCACAACCACTTGAGGGATGTATTATCAGTATTATTTCCTGATACATCTGTATCACAGTACAGAAGCAAAATGTTTGCCTAACCTCATGAAAATTTTCACATTTCCACAGTGTAGAAAGTTGGGTGACAGAAAGTGGAATTGAAAGTGGAAATTATGAGACTCCCAGAAACTTAGAATTTTAACATCAGGTGTTCCCTATTTTAACATCAATAAAATTTTGGGCAAAAAAACCCCAAAACATGGCTTTTCAGTCAAAAAACTCCTGAATAATTGCATCCTCAGAAATAAGTTGTTTGAATTTACTAGCATGGAAAACATAGCACTATCATGTAACACATTATGCTTTTTTAATTAGGATTGCAGTAAAAACAACTATGCTGAGTTGTGAAAAGAACATTTGCACCTTTTTACTGTAACTTTACTGGTTTTTAAGGTTTTGATGGAGTAATTTCCCATAAAGCTCTCTAGACCTGAATGGGCCTGGGTATCAACTTGCTGCTGAAAAGCATCAGGCTTTGAGAACTTAGGGAATCTCTGCAGCTGGACCTAGAGTACTGTTCAATACAAATTCTGCATTTCCTCCTTGGATTTGTACTGAGGTGGGATAAAGAACAGGAAAATCTGCAACTCAGTGATGCCATTCCCTCTGATCTGCCTTTCCTAACAAAACCAACATCCCAAGCAGACAAATATAAGAGAAGTCTCTCTACAGTGCAGAACAACAGCCTAAAAGCAAGAAACAGGAAAGCAATGAGAATGTGAGCTTAGTTCATCCACCTTAATTTTTATCTCAGTGTTCCTTCTGAAGTTCATTAAAAAATCACCACTTAAAGATGTTTTTTAGTCTAAAAATTCAATTTCTGTGATTAATTAAAACACTCACTTGCTTCAGCTCACATTGGCAAGTACCTGGGTGTTACTCTTGCATGCTAAGAATAAAGATTTAGCAGCCTTGACTTATGTTACATAGTCTCCCACACACAGGTCTAATTCTCAAGATTTTCATCTCCAGACACCAGGAGCAGCTTTCTCTGCTAACTGCCCCACTTTGTCTCAACCAGATGAAAAAGCTCCCATAAAAAGCACAGTCCTTAGAGCATAGGCCTGAGCTGCACCCAACATGGCACCATCATTCCACTGGATGGCAAATTCAATGAGAAAACAGAGTATCAAAATAGCTATTGAAAAATCAAACTTGATAAAAATAGAAGTTTAAACTGCTGTTTTAATCAATGTTTGTATCAGGTAACTGTACACCAAATATTAAAGGACTATTTAGGACTAACGCCCTCATCAGTAGGCTCATCTATCAGCATGACCAGAACAAGAGAAGATCAATGTTTAGCTGGCACTCAAGTACAGCACGGCTTCAAAGCAGAGATCATATCAGCATCAAAGCACAGAGAAAAACAGTGGTTAGAATATAATACACTAAATTTGCAATGTCAGTATCCCTGATGATTCTAACAGAAACAGCAACCTAAATATTGTGAAGTTAATCACTGCTTCTGAACAGAACACAAAATAACTTGCATTTTTAAGAAAAATGAAATGAGTGACTGATGGGAATCAGTTCCCCAAATATTCCCACATATGCTGCAAATTCAGTGGGATCTGCACAAAATATCAGTAAGTTCTATACAATTTTAAAGTGCATTTCATCTGTTTAAGAAAGTAATAAAATATCAGCTGAACACAGTGACTCATAATCAAATCAAACAAACATTCTTGACAGTCATTCACAGCAAAGCACAAAGCAGTGAAAATTTGTCTTTTCCATTTCCAGCTTGGATACACCCTGGTAAGGTACAGGCACTGTGCTGCCTAAACACAAGGCTCTCTACACACCTGACCACTACAAGAAAATAAACAAAATGACACTTGAGAAGCTTGAGGAGTTCTTTGATCTGTTGATCAGAATCAGTACAGCTCTGAGCCTAGCAGGGTCACGTGGCAGTGTGCTATCTCACAACAGTTCATTCTGCCAATGAACAAGGAAAAATCATGGATTTCTTTTGGTCAATTCAGCATCTTATTCACATGCAGATATTAGAAAACAGTCATTTTGATAAATGAATACCAGTCTCGTGTTTCTTGGAAGACTTACTCAATTTTCCAAATCTGTGATGTTCGAATTGCTTTCACAGCATTCTACTATTTCAGATTTCCATTTCCTACATCTTTTGCAATTCCAACTTATTTACTGTGCACATGTATATCCACTTAAAAATCAACTTTATTTATCACCAAGGAATTCTTTCACAGATGAAGAATTAAATCATCACCCTCTAAAATAATACTTTATTTCTAATACTAGATAGAGTTAATATTTCAGTTAAAGTAGTATTGAAATATTCGCTATAGTAACAAGGAAGGGAAAATCTGCATGCCAGCAGTACCTGTAATGAAAATTCTTTCAAGAGTCAATTTTCAGGCATTTGGAGGGCTGGGGGTGACACAACACTGAGTAACACTTGTATGTAACACATGAAGTCAGTCGCCAGTGAAATGCAAAAGATCCGGTAATATTAAAAGAAAAAAAAGTAGCTACCCCCCTTGAAAGCTTTTTTAGCAACTGTAACAATGCAATTCTTTGCTACCCAAAAATATGTACCAGGATCTAGGAAAACATCTAATTTTCTGCACATCATGTTATTAACTGGAACACCACTGCACGTGCAGGGAGATAGGAACAGCACCAATGGCCTCAGGCAGCTCTCTCCAATCTGCACAAGAACAAGGGCCAAGAGAGACAACTAAAACACTGGAGATTTCAGCCAAAATAACACAGATTTATATATCACCAAAATCCAGAGAAGGGGCAAAAGCAATAAGCAAGGACTAATTTCAGTACAGCAAAATACATGAAAGATTTATTGCTGAAGCAAAAGTTTGAAGATGAAGTTGTATGCAGCAGGAATAAAGGCCATAGCACAGGACTGAAGCAAGGCCTTTGTCAGATTAATGAACAATTTGGGAGGTGACATTCTCAGAAAAAGTACTCCCCTCTCAAAGGACAACCTCATTAAAATGAACATACCACAGGGAGAAGACACTTCTTTTAAATCTTTTCTTTAAAAAGCAAGTAAAAACTAAACAATAATGCAGCCAGACAGCCCAGACTGCAGACATCTGTAAATGCAAAGGGAGGTCTGGTAGCCATTGAAAATCCCAATATGGTTCCAATTCGCTCTGTAAGGAATTCTGCCTAAAGTAAGAACCTAGTCTGTCTCAAAAAACCAAAAGAATATATACAAACTGCAAAAAGCTGCCACTTTAAAACATCTCTTAAAATTCTGAAAGTGGTAAGAACAAAATGGGTTGAATATGTGGGCACTTCAGAAGCAAAATCTCAGGATTAAGATACCTGAGCAGAAGTTCAAGACTACATCAGCCAAGAGCACTGAGCAGGTCTCCAAAAAGAAACAAAGTTCTACTCTTAAGTGTAAAGTTGTATTTGCTCATAGTTTTCAAGGATTTATTCTTTCTGTCTGGACAGGGCCTATGCTGCAGAAAGTTGGCAGCTGTCCTGGGGGATGTGTGTCCACACCACTAAAATCTGACAGGTTACCAAAAATGACTTGAATGAACCCAAACAAATGGTCAGCCTATGCATGACCAGCACACTGGTAAGATTTGTTATTCTGAGTC